ATTTAAAATATTAAAAAGTAAATATTATATTATTTAATGATTAATTTTTTTTAAACATATAATATTATATACATAAATTAATTTAATGATATATCTTATATTACGTCATTAACCTTAAATTTGCATTTTAAATTTTAGTCCCCTATCATTACTTTAAAATAAAACCATTAAATGAGGAATACCCTCAATATCAAAGCTTTATTTTTTTCTAATAATTTATATTATTTAGTTTAATCTAATCCGAATTGCATGATACTTTTTGAAATCAATATTCAGTTCGGTTTTGAATAACTATACTTCCAATCCGAACATAAAAAATATCGGTCAACTTATGTTTGGGGTTCAAAATGGATCAGGCCCAGCCCAATCCCATTTCTGAAAGATTTGAACATTTTTCTTTCCTCTTCTTCCCCCCGAATTCATCTGTAACTCCTTTCCGTCTTCGACTCCGAATTCCGACGGAGTGAGTACTTTCTCCGGCCGATAACCTCCCAACTCCGACTCATTTCCGTCTTTCCTTCGTTTCTCTGAATTCTTCGTCTTATGTTCCTCGCCCCATTTCGCATCTCCGCCAGAATTCGTCTCTGCAAATTACACTTCCAGCCAGGTAAACGCAGTTGATAGTTAACTTGCTTTCCTCTCTCTAGTTCGCCTCTCATTGTATGTGTCGGTCTCACTCCCGTATTTGTCTTCTTTCTGTTCTAATTTTCTCCTCTTTTTTTTTCATCATCTGTACCTTTCTACATTAAACCCTAGAAATCATTCCCGCAGTCGCAATTGACCCACGATCGATCATTTTCTGCTTTCCTCAGGTATGTGTTGATTGTTGTCAGTCTAATTGTTCTTTTTTGTATTCTTTTCTTTTTTCTTTTTCTGGGTGAATTTTATTGTCTTTGGTTCTAGGCTTCTAGGCCTGTGTTAATGTTGGTTTCCATCTTGTTTTTGGTGACAATTTCACTAATTTTTTCTCTCAAAGTCGTGCAATCTTTCTATCAATTCATAATTCTAAGAATGTAACATATTTGGAGTTTGGAACTGTGGACTCGAGCTTCTCATTATCTTTAAATAAACATGGTCAATGTTTGTTCACATGATCAATTTCTTGCTTCAGGTGATAATATAAGGTTCAGAGCTGGTTGCTTATCAAAGTGAGGTCTAATCTTTGCTTTAGTCAACCAAAATTTTTATACTTTTTTCATTGAGTTGGGTAAATGGTGAGACGAAGAGCTAAGAAGACTGCCAAACAAGCTCCAAAATTACCTGAACACTTAGGTGATGGTGACACAAAGGAGAGCCAAAATGAGGAGAAGGATAAAGTTGTGCCATTGATACACCAGGAAGGTAATATTCTACTCAAGTATTATTGTTTTGCTGCTCTTATTTTTACCCATCAAGCACAGAACTTTCTAGAGAGGTTCCAGTCTGTTTGTTGTAGACACTAAGAAAAAGGAGAATGGAGATGGCTACAATTTCCAGAATAAAAAGATAGTACATTATGGTTCACCAATAAGAGTTTGGTAGGGTTGGTACCCACTAAACTAAAAATCTTGATTTAGGGTCAAGGTCAGGGGTTTAAACCCCTATAATGCCAACCAACTAATTCTTGATTTACCAAAAAAAGAGTACATTATGGTTTTGGACATGCTAAAAACTGAGTCAATTGTTGATGAATGCATGTATGGTATCTGTTGGACTACTTTGATATATATATATATATATATATATATATATATAAGATGGATCAATTGTAGTTTACAATAAGTTTCATCCTGCAATTCTAATGACTCTGGAAAATTTCAAAGTTTATTGTTGTTCACCTTGGTTTCTTTTTACAGTTGAAAGACAAATTGCTGCAATTAGGGCTATTCGTGATGTGGACATAGAACATATGTTGACTTCACTGCGTTTGCTACGGTCATATTTTAGTGAGGAGCAGTGCCAGACCCCTGTATTACAATTTTTCAAGGAAAGTCTTCCAAATCTGTCAGTTGTCAGGAGTGAAGTAAATGGAGAATTTCATGTGCAATACAAGAATGAAGATGGAAATTTATTTATGAACCATTTAGATCATGTGGACCTGCATGCTTCTCTTCTACGTCGTTTGTCCATGGCACAGTCTCATTGCTCTGGCATTCCATCTTTTGGTGGCTTTGACTTATCGTCTAGCAGAGCAGGTAGTAGAAATTTTTCTGTTTGATTTTGGTGCTTTCATGCGTACTGGAATTAGCTTTGATGTTTGAAAATGGTTCTATCTGAAGTGAATTGCTTCTTTTGTGGCAGTAAGGGCAAGCTTTCTTGGAGCAGATAATCTGCAGATCAAGGACCTTGTATGTTCACATTCTCTGTATCTGAAACTTGGAAAATATACGGATCAGGAAATTGTTTACTTGTACTTTCCAAGCACGAAATGGGACTTTAAATTTATCTCATTTAATGCTGTTTTGGATGGGCTAGTTTTTTGTTGTTATTTTTCAATTGGGGAGACTTTTTTCTTCTTGCATTATTTTTTCTTGTGGGATGTTGCCACAGAAAATTGAGTTCTAGCATAGTTGGTAGATACCATTGTGTTAAGCATAATTCAATTTTTCCCCCTCTTTTAATTTTGTTATTAAAATTTTTTTCATGGTGCAAAAAGATCAAAATTTGGGTTTTACATAGTACATTTGCTTTTTTGTTAACCTGTGACAAAACAAAGTAAATTATGTTTTAATGTGGTATCCAAACACTCACTGATGTTAAATTAGTGAAGAATACAACTATATTTTCCTACTTTTCCAATTTGAGTTTCTATCTTGTAGGTTTTGGAGGGGCTGCAGGACAGTCAAGTGCTTGGAATGCATGATTCTCTTCGAACACCTGGGGTTTGTATCTTTATGGCATCTTCATTTATCTAGACCTGACCAACCCAATAATGTCATTCTACCTTCTATATAGGAAGAAATTGAAAAGTCTACTACATGAATTGAGATCAAGTATTTTTTAATGTTATGGTTGGTTGCTTGATGTGAAGTGATTTTAGATCCTAGCTTCTCAAGTTCAGTAAAAATTGCTTTTTTATAAATTAATGGAGGTTCTATTACTACATTATTTGTTAATTTCTATTTGGATGATTCTCAAATTGTTACATCTTTTTCTTTTTGTTCTCCCTCGGAGAAGATAATGGTCTGTGTGGATGGTTGCTAATGGAATATCTAACTGAGTAAAATTGTATGTTTTATTATTGCAGGCAAGCAGCCAAAGGTTATCCATTGGGTTGACACCCAAAACCCTAAGGGTGCCAAAGCCTGGTGAGATGCTTCTTTCTGTCCATGGTTCACCTCTTGGAGTCTACAAGGAGGATAATATGGAAGCTATCCATGGTATGCTTCTAGACGACTACCAATGCTCTTTATGCTCTCAGCTTATGTTTCTAGAGGGATATTCACAATGTTGTCAGATGTGTTGAGCTGTTAAAAATGTTTCTTGCTTCTCATGCTAGGCAATAGGCATAATAGCCAATGCACTTTGCTTTGGATGCAATCTGACTTGAAATACAGATTCTTTCTCTTCATTATGTTCTGACTTGTGAACTGTGTTGATTGCAGAGTCTGAAGAAGGATGAGGCTTTTCAAGTCATTCAAGGTGTCGGATCAAAGTGAAATTTACTTGACAGCTGCTACGTTCAAGGATGGTCTGATTGTGTTTATCTCATATTACAAATGGTTAATTGTAATAGAGGAAGTAGTGTTTCGACATCAATGTGCTGTGATCAACAATGCTAATTTCTAAATACAAAGGTAGTACGTCAGGGATCTCTGTAATATCTTGTTTAGCTTCTGTACAAGAATTTTAGCTGCTCATATCTATCAACCGAGGATCACAATAATTTTTTTACTGCAACCTAGGAGCACAAATGCCGTGATAATTATTATGTCAATCAACTTCTCTTGCCTGGTACCCTCTCATTCTTTTTCCATCCTGTCTGGTACTTGGATTTAATTTCAATCGCAACATTATCCAGTCATTTTGCTCTAGCAGTCGAAATCTGGAAAGTCTTTTTGTTCCAATTCCCCAAGAATAGATGATAACACATTGCTTTTGCATAAATTATAATTTTCTTGTGAAGCAGGGAAAAAAATTCTAGCATGGAAATGCATGTACATTCTACAATATTACTAACAAAGAAGCAGCTTGCTTG